AGTGTCATGTTATCCCTGCTGCCCTTGTGCAGACAAATGTCCAGAACACTGTTGACAATCATCGGCAGGTCGTCGGTCACGAAAAGACGCGAGGCAATGAACTCACACACTTCCGAGCTGTCCATCACGTCCCAAATGCCATCGCAGGCCATTACTAAGAATTCATCACTCTCGCTACGCTGGCAAACTGTAATGTCTGGCTCTGGCGACACCAACTGATCGACGGACGACTTAGAATTATCGTTCTTAAACTCAAAGTCCCCCAAAGCACGTGAAACTGCCAAGGTGCCGTTCACCCGTTTTACCATTACGTGTCCACCGGCATTTTGAATGCGTTCCATCTCCTTCGGATAATACGGCTTATGATCACTGGTGCTGATCACAGCCTGTCCATTTCGCACCACTACAGCCCGCGAATCGCCGCAGTTGGCCAAATAGATCTTCTCTGGCGACACAAAAACACAGATGGCCGTCGATCCACCGGGCTTGTCCTGAAATAACTTCCTCATGTCCTCATCCAGCTGCAGAAAACCTTCTTTAATCCCAGCCTCAAATCTTAACATGGAAAAATCCTCGGTTTGCACTATAGAATCCATTAGGTGCTCGGCACAATGCAGTGCTATTCGATTGCCAGCATGACCATCGAAAACTCCAAAATACGACCATTCCGCAAAAGGTTCTTTTAGCCCACAAACAGCCGCGTGGGCGTCTTCCATTTCTAATCGCCAGCCTTGCATGGAAGTCACGCAATAGCGAAGTCCATTTCCATTATCCTCACTAACTTGTTTACTGGTCTCAGGTTTCTCCAAAAAGCCACCCATTTTATGATTCAACCGACGCCACTCTAAATTTGTAAGAGTGTATAATATGTTTTTCGGAAGCTACCTGATTCAGGGATTGAAGTTATTAGCATGCCCTACTTACAATTGAAGTAAATGAAAAATATTTAAAGAATATTTATAATGACTTTTTGGTTAAAACTATTGGGAAGAATTCTTGACTTATACAAAAAACCAACAAGATCTTCATTAAAGACATTAAAATGATGTTGCATTAATTGTATTTTCAGTTTTTTTTATAAAGCCATCTTAATTGGCATATTTACTTAAGCTTAATTATTTAGTTCAACAAACATAATCTTTATTATGAACATTATACAAAATTTCTCATCGGCTCAGGAACTTTTCAAGCTAAATTTTTTCCCAGTGTAAGCTCCTCTTGTTTCCTGAAGCATCGAACATTCATTCGTCCTGGCGAGTGGAGTTTATTGCTTCGGCACATTTCAAGAATCTTTGGCAAGCCTCAATTAATCGATGACAATTCAATTAGCATCGAGTCCATTAACCCACAAAAGATCCCCCATTCACTCATGGCTCAGGCTTGAGGATGACTACCACCTCGAGTACACGAAACTTTGGATTACAAGCATCCTTGGACGCTGAACTACCAAATAATGGAACAGCTCGGTGTGGGAATTGAATGGCCATAAGAAAAGTTTACCGTTTAATTGGACAGGCAAATAGGCAGCTAGGGATCGGGGATTGGTACTGACTCGTTGAAAGTCTAAACGTCAGTTAGTTCGCTCCCCCGACACCGACACTGCGAGCAGTCGTCGGTCGCATTCTGCCAAACAATGAGCTAAATTTTCCATGGAAAACTACTAAGTAAGCTTGTTAATTAAATACGCATTACCGCCCCTGTAATTGCCTGTGACTCGCTGCTTAGCAACAACTACACCTGCTAATGAAATCGGGAAGGCAGAAGGTGCGGAACGGGGTGAAACTCTGGAGAGATTGGTTGGGGGAGGACACAAACTAATTGTTGAAGTCAAGTGCAAAGTTTCAGGGCGCCCCATCTCAACTTCTCTTCCTAATTTTCCGGTGCACTCGTCAATGTGTCATGGCAAAAATGCGTACAAAGGTAATGCGATATGGTTGCTTGACGAAAAGCTCATGAGTTTCTAAAGCCTATTTTCAACTTAAATACCTTTACTTATGGAATTAGGTATTTCAAGTGTTCTTATGTATGTATCTTTTAGTTACATCTTTGTGGGATTTTGTTTAATTATTTAAAGAATGCTATATTGTTTAGTTCGGTTAAATACAATATATAAGAATACACTTAAGCAAATTGGAATACCCTTTCGTCTTTTTGTCTTCTTTGTAAACGGCTTAGGACCACTCTCGTCAAAGGCTCGAACTCAACTCATCGGCATCTTGTCGTCTGCAGGCATGTTTAGTTTAAATTCAGAAAATCAGTACATATAAATTTGACATAAAATGCATTTTCAGGAAATGGTACTTCAAGTGTTCAATGTATAGTTTGTCATATAAGCCAATATTTAATTGAAGGACATACTGACGTGTAGACAAATCCCGTTTAAAATCAAATATGAACTTAATGATCCTTGCAAATCACGCGAATTGGCAACGACAGACGGCTATTAATTAGCGCATAATTCATTCCCACCGAAATGCATGCCACGCGACCTATTTGCACACACAATTCCACGTGCAAATCATCAATCACGACCAACCAGGAATGAGTTGCGGAATGCATCAAGCTCAGACTAAATGCCGTTGCAGCAAAAAAGAAAAAAAGGTTAATGGGTTGAAATATCAACATCAACATCAACTCGGGTCGTCAACGTTAACGTTAACGTCGACGTCTGCATCGCTGCTTATTGTTTGCATTGTTTTCCTGCGGGCAAAAACCGAAACGAAGGTGGACAAAAACAGGGCTTACTAAGGGGCTAAAATATGCGCACGCCGCAGGTAAATGTTGGTAATTTGTGACTTGGAATGTTTTTCAGCGTCTGCTTTAGAGTCCCTGCAAAGTTTTACGGCAGCGACCTCTTCTAACACGACACTCGCCCATTTAACGCTTTATGGCATTGGATTTATGCTATGTGATATGCAAAGAGGCAGTTGCATGCAAATGCCAGCTAAAGCAGCGGAATTTGCCACAGGAAACTGAAATAAAACTGGGCGGGGATATTGAATTGCCTTGTGAATGCAACACAGTGAAAATATCGCTGAAACAAGGGTGAATTGAAATGACTTCAAATGAACACGTTATACGTGTACATATAAACTTATGTTTTCTTTATTTTTACAGCCTAGATATAACTCATTTTATTGTTTTTGCTATAATAAATTCGTTAAACAAGGAACTTCTTTCATATGAATAATTTTGACGAATTTATGTAGATTTTTTTTTTAAATCAAAAGGGATTTTAAGTTAAATCAAATTATTTTTGCTTTTCTTATCCCACTTACACAAGAATTTATGAAACGAGGCCCATTTTCGTTTTCATTTTCAAAGCTCATGTAACCGAAGTTTATATACTTTCAGTTAGTTTTATCTAAGCGCTTCAGTTTAGTGAAGAGTTTAATCATATCTGGCTTTATTGTCCCAGCCGAGGTTTGTTTTTTCAACTCGGGTGTCCTTAAGCTGGACCAGAGCAGAGCTGTGCGCTTTTATTTACCCCTTTGGCTTTTGCTTTGGCTTATACGAGTGTGCCGCTCTCTTTCCCCGCCTGTAATCGACCTGCATGTTATTCATGGCTAAGCACACACCTGCACACCTGCACACCCGCACACTCCAACCTAAAACGACATCAAACCGCGACCCCCGTACCGCTCGACCCCTGACCCCTGCGCCATCCAACTGCCAACTGCCAGACCAACAATTTTCTAAACTCGAGCGCTGCGCACGTAATAAAAAATACGCCAACCTAGGGGATGGTTGTTTAGGGTGGTGCTTCTGTGGGGGGTGGTAAGTGGGCAGTGGGCGGTGGGCGGAGGCTGACTGGCGCGCTAAGCTGTGCTAAACATTCCCTAAATATATTTTGCAACAGCTCCTCCACACACGAGATAAGCGGCGCACATACCGCAGCGACCTGAACCTGAACATGAAGATAGTGTAGGTGGTGGTATGGGGCTGAAAAATGGGGTGGAAAAGCGGATGGAAAACTGGATGTGGGGTTAGTTTGGCACTAAGAGGGCACACCGAGCAATGAAACTTTTTGCGCCTGAATATTTTTGCAAAACTATTCACAGTTGATTTTTCACCTGATGCTTTTCATCCTCGTTGTGTGCATCTGTGTGTGTGTGTGTGTGAGAGTGTGTACGTGTATTTGTATGGGTGAGTGCACCTGCCGTCAAGTCTTTGTGAGAGTGCTTAAAATATTTGTGCAGCATGCACACAGACGACTCCTTGCCCGAAAATATCCGACTATCTGGCCAGCAGTGTTCTGGCCTCCTTTTGGGCCCAACTTAAATGCAGCTGCCATGGCACCTGAATTTTTCCATAGACTAGCCCCTTTTGCAGTCCGAATTTTAACGGATTTACTTGTAATTACTCTTCGTTAAAAACCAAAAAAATTTAACCAGAAGAATCCCAAGAGATTGTACTTTGGAAGAGAAATGATCGGGAATTTAACAACCAAAAAAAACAAAAGATCGGTTTTCAAAAAATGTTTTGTTGTAGTGAGGCTACGGGGTTTTTAAATACTTTTGTCTTAAATTATTGACTCATAGCGAATAAAACAAATTCCTTTCCATCGACTTGTTTTTGAATTAGAAGTTGAACTCCATATTATTGAATACAGTATAATTAATAATTTAAATAATTAAAAAACAACTTTAACTTATTATAGTTTGTATAAGTAACTTAATATACATTTTTAAAACAGAATTTCAATATTTAATTCATTTAAAATGACCGCTTCATTTTTCTCTATATTTTAATCGTATTAAGAACCATATCTCTTAAATATATTAAATATCAAAGCATTAAAGTAAGGTTTAATTTTAGTTATTTTTTCAAGCATTTAAAACCAATCAACCAAAATGGGTGGCACACTCAGTTTTGAAATTCTTCGGGATTCTGTTGGTTTTTATTTAAGCTGAACCGCACCTGCATGTACGCCTTCGCGCTCGAATATATGTTCCATTATGAAAATGTCCTTAAGTCCAACTAACCGTGTGCAATTGCAGATACGGGCTCCTGGGCGCCTCTGGATGCGGGAAAACAACGCTGCTCAGCTGCATCGTCGGACGACGTCGCCTCAATTCTGGCGAGATTTGGGTGCTCGGCGGACGACCCGGATCCCGTGGATCCGGTGTGCCGGGACCCCGGATTGGCTATATGCCACAGGTGAGTTGGCCTCGGCCGAGCTGCGCTTGCCTTCCATTTTCATTCACCTGCCAGTCCCTGAATTTTTCATGCGCTTTTTATTACCCCATCCCCGAGAAGACTAAATTAAATAAACGCAATAAAATGGTGAAAGCACAAAAGAAAACACACCCAGCAAAGTTTTAAATGCCTCACACAGAGATGGAAAAAACTTAAACTTTTCACAATCCATAAGAACAACTCAACTCTTTGCTTTATTTCTTTTATTTTTCATAACAGGCGTGCCATTTTTCAATTGAATATGTTTTCATTATTAATAAGCAAAACAAATTTCTTACCTAAGAAACCACGAAGTCTAAACTTTTCGTTTTATTTTCATTTTTCTTCATAGTTTTTTTTGTAATTGCATTTATATAAATAACTAAACCAATTCTAAAATTACGTATTAAACTATGAAGAAAATATGAATTCATAGTAAGAGCAGTACGTTTTCCAACAGACACTTCCCAAAAAGGACTATTTTATGCAGATATAAACTTAAATTGCCATCATCCACTGAATTCAGCTTGGCACAGTCGGGTCATAAACCAACGTAGCCGGAAAGTGGCCAGGTTTTTAGTGGAAGTTTTGCCGGAACAGAGTATTATGCCGGTGAAAATGTATATATATAATTTACGTATTCCAATTTGGGTTTATTGCAGGAGATAGCCCTTTACGGCGAGTTCACGATGCGTGAGACCTTAATCTACTTCGGCATCATTTCGGCCATGCCCAAAAGCGACATCGAGGATCGCACCGAATTCCTGCTCAAATTGCTCAATTTGCCAAATGCCTCGAAATTTGTCAAGAATCTGAGTGGCGGCCAGCAACGAAGAGTAAGTTTGGCAGTGGCCCTGCTCCACGAACCGGAGCTTCTCATCCTGGATGAGCCGACGGTGGGCGTGGACCCGGTCTTGCGACAGAGGTGAGTCCTGACCCTAATGACAGCTACACTAAGCAAATACTTTTTGGCGCATTACAATTGCACTAAATTATTTAACAACAAAATTGCCTTTTGGTGTGCCGGACCACAAAAATCAGTAGAGTTTTGCAAGTACCTATGAAAGTTAAGAGTAAAGCAGGGATAAATGGATAGTTGATTTTCGGTATAAGCCCATTAGACTTAAAATACTGTTGCAATTTAAAAGAATCCTTTAAAAGTTATTAAAAAAACCTAATGATTTTTGCGTCATTCGACACTATCTTCAATCAATTGAAAAAACAGGATTTCCAGAAAAATGTATTTTGGTGTGTGTGTTTTATACCAAAATATAACCTTTTTATCACATACTTTCCGACAGCTTTTCAACTCATTTCAAAACGTTGTGATTTCTGCAGTATCCGCCTTTGACAAATTTTTCTCTGTGGATATATGACAACTGATTAACTCTTCATCTTGTTGATTACAGCATCTGGGATCATTTGGTGGACATTACGAAAAATGGTCACACAACTGTGATAATCACCACGCATTACATCGACGAGTGTGCCCAGGCGCATATGGTAAGTGGAAGCAGGAATATTTCCAGGGAAGTATAGGCGGGTTGGGCAAGGGATTTTCGGGGTGTGCGGCGACGAAGTGTCAATGTTTCTTGGCGCCCACGCATTGTTCGTCCCCGGTGATTTATGGCCAGCCGGCACATCCATGTGTAATATGTGGCGTATGAGCAATATTATGCTGCCACAGCCAAGGTGAAAGTTCAGCTATCAGCTCCGCCGAGCGCTGTCAACATGCGGCGCTAAGTGCTTCCGTCTGCCCCTGGCAAATTTGTATCCTGCGAGCTGCAGCCAATCCGTGTGCTGTCCGAAAACCAAAAAAAAAACAAAGGAATGGTCCAAAGAGAAAAGCAGAGGAGTAGAATATTACTGGCGGCTGTCTCCTCTGTTGACCCATGGCCATGGCCACGATTTACGAGGCTTTTCCGAGCGAGACACATTGCAAAATTTACTTCAGATTTATTTATGCCAGCAGCGAAACAGAAGAGATCTGTATAGGGAAATATAACTGCGCTAGTCATTTAATGCGTGCAGCAAACAATGAACTCTGGCGTTCTCAGGCGTGGAAAAAATAAACGAATAAATCGTGACAAAGCTCGCAAACAAACGCCCATCACAGTGGACAGTTGGATAGACAGATAGATACACGGCCAAAGCGACAGGCCGAGATACGGATTCTTGGCAACACGCACAGGATATGCACACATAAAACAAACAGAATCCTTACTCAGGGACACACACGCAAGCTCAAGTGGAGTGTGAGATGGTTGAATATATCAATGACAACACTCTGAAAAAGATTGATGTGGAGAGCGGCGGAGAAAGTGTGAATTGGGCCGGAGATCGACACTTGAGACACACTACAAGGAAGCCCGTTTAATGTGATTGATAGGGTGCCAGAAAATATTCATCGCAATGGTTGACTTAAGGAGTATTTATTATTAGAAAATATTTTACAACGTTTATAATTTTTCGGTGACGTTCCAGCTTTTGTTGGCGCAAAAGCCTTTCATAACATACATTTCACTGAGTTGTTGACAGAAAATATATATATAAACCAAAACCTTTTATTCCTACTCCTTTAAAATTGTTGGTTTAAAAAATAGTTTGACCCCATTTTATGAATCGAACATTAAAGATTATTTACATGAAATTAAGGCTAAAACGTTAACTAATAATAACTTCCTGAAATTGTTAACATTATTTCAAAGTAGTTTATTATTTTTTAATTTATTTGCATGATTTCTTTTAACTTATACAAGCATAGAAACCAATTGATTCTTAAGAAACTCTTTAAAGAAACCTTTATCCCACCATTTCGCATTATTGATTGGGCGCCAGCTGTTATTAATCAACATTATTTTTGGGTAATATTAAATATTTTACCGAATATATTTATCGCCGCTTTAAATGGGTCTTATTTATACATAATTCACATCACAGCGTTTTGGGCTTGAATCGAGTAATACTGAAACAATCAGCCAGGTCTCAGGGCTTCATCCCTCTAACCCCACTTGACCCCAAAGGACATTCAGGGTGTTAAACGGCTCACATGCTGTGCGGCTGCCAATTGACAACACGTTTTGGCCACCCTCAACCCTCAACCCTCAACCGCCAAACCCTTTCGAAAACCATGCATCCCCACATGGTCTGCTGGTTGGGAATCCGTTGTCACGCCGCCATGCCGCCAAAAGTCATTGCGGTAAAGAGTTATGGCCAATAAACAAAATCACTGGCTGGAATAGAAAACTCGCCTTGGTCTGCGGGCAATCGACATTCAGCATTTGGCACTTGGGAATCGCACTGGGATTGGAATTGGGTGTCAAGCAAAACAATCGACTGAGTCGCTGCCGCAGTCCATAAAACAAGGCACAAGAATCGGAACCGAAGCATCCTGGCCGAGTTAATCCAAGAGTCAGGCGCTGAAATGTGAATTTAATGCGAATTGTTAGACCAAATTTATGGTTTATGGGTTCTATAAAAAGCCAACTAGCGGAAGAAGTTTCCATCCGCGATGGTTCATCGTTATATGCAAAGCCCATGGGATCACGAATGAGAAGTTGTTGTGTCTGTGTAACTTCTAGTGACAGTGTTTAATTGCTCATATTGAACACGTGTTTCCTCGCAGCTGAGCTGAGTTGGAGAAGGATGAGGGGCTTAGCTAAGAGGTGCACGCCTCAGCTGGCTGATAGTTCACTGGGAGAAAACCCTGAAGAATATCACTCTCCAATTTTATACAATTAAAAAAGCTTTGTAATATATTTTACGGCAAAAGTATTACGTTTTTAAAGTAATAACTATCCGTTTCTATAAAAACGTTATCAACAAACTAAAGTGTTTTCAAATTAAGTAATAGGAGCCTTAAGATTTGTTTGAAACTGTTTTGAAAATAATCTTCCCTTTTTTTATGAAATATTTACTATTTTCATGGTACAATTTTTATCGGTGTACGAGTTATATGGCCGGCAGCAAATTACTTTTTCAGCTTTGTCACTTATTCGTGCCACGCTTTGGTTTCGACCAGCTCAAGTCGAATCCGAAACAGAAAAGGACCAAACTTCAGTTTGGCCTGGCCTGAGGTAGTTATCTGCACATATTTTCGCCAATTCTGCACGTCACGAGGAGTTAACCGTAGAGTTTTTCTAGTAGACTTCCCTGTGTATTCTGTCTTTTCCTCTTGTCTTTGTTTTGGGCTCTTTTTTCTGTTGACTCAACAGAATTGCGTGTCCAAAATGGGATTCCCTTCGGCCAAAGGCGGCTAAAGTAGAGCTTAACGCTGCCCAGAAAGACACATAAATTTGCCGAAGCCTGATTCTGTGAGGCACTCCAATTGGCACCTACATGGCACTTGATCTATTCGCCGCCCCTCCCATTAAAAAGCCAGGGCATTAAAGTGATTGTTGCCTGTTGGCAGTTTATAAGCTGAAAATTCATGCGGCAATAAAAATTATATGCAGCATGGCTGCAAAAACAGCTATTAGTTTTTCTGATTCTACTGCAGCTGGATGAGGATGCACTCAAACAAAAGCAGGGGCATTAAACGTGATCGTAAAATGCATTAACGACTTTCCAGAGTGTTGTTAAAACTTTGCCATACTCAAATTCGGTTATTGTTATTTGTATGGTGCAGCGATTAAAAGATTTATATTAATTGAAATATATTTATGGACATTAAAAATTTGCACGTGTTTGATTGAGAATATTGTGTGAATATGTCTACAGTATAGTCTTTCCAAAAAACCAGAAACGTTTAAGCGATTATTAAAGTTTAGTGTGCCAAAATTCTCGATTTAATAGACGCTTATTTATATCAAGAATTTGCCGTAGTGTCATGTTGAGATGCTTTTATTTTGATGGCAAAGTAGATAAATGGACCGCAGGAGGATTAGTTATTGTGGCAAATTCACCATTGTTCGGCTTTTAAAATCATTTTGTGAACAGATAGGAAAATGAACAGCAACAATAGCTTCGTACGATTTGCTTGTCTTTATTATAATCTGATTAACAAGAACAACATTTTAATGCAAGAAAAATAAAATGTTTTTTTTCGTTTTCAATAAACTAGCTGTCTAACCAAAATCTGTGTTTCTTTTTTCTTGAAACTACAAATATTACACCTGCGATGACAGTGGCACCCACATCAAAGTTGGCTCCGCATTATGACAAGCATTACCACCTGCACTGGTTTCGGTATTATGCTTAGAACCACACCATCGCCACCATCCACCGAACCTTTTTTCGCACCCAACTACCACCCACGAGGTCAACCAACTCGGCCCACACAACAGAATCTCAAATGGCCTCCAGTTCCTCGCTCCTAGCAAAGTGCAGCGCTTCACTTTTTTTGACAGACATGTCTCCCTAAATTTAATGTCAGCGCTGCCTTTTCCTTTGGCTCAGGCGAAATTGTTGGCTCGACCGAAAAATAAAAGCTTAAAAAAAAGGGAGTAGCTAAAACAAAATAAAAAGAATAGAAAACCAGGACAAAAAGTGAGGGAGGGTGAAAAAAATAGAAGCGCGTATACGCCACATGGCCACACAGTGAAGACAGTGGGGGCGGTTCTGTATCTCCTACTGTCCCCAGTTGAACGTGCAGTGCTTTCTGCTCTAATAAATGAAATCAGGGAGCGTAACATTATGTGATGGATATATTGTTACGAGTACTCTACCTCAGCATTTACTGCGAGCCCTAAAAATCCCTCCTGCTCACGCCTTTAATAGTTTATATTGTTGCATTTCCTCTTGTATTCCAGTCGTTTTTGTGTATTTTTTTATCCTTATTGTTTGTCGCGTAATTTTCCGCTTGTTGCCTTCGAGCAGTCAACGTGGAAAAAAGAACACAACCGAAATGCAAATGGACAGTTGAATAATTGCTAAAGCTGATGAGTGACAGGAGATACACAATAACCAAGAAAAAATAACATTACCAACTGAATTTCCGTTGCCTGATAAAGTGTTGATATGTTTCGACCACTTTGATTGCCACTTTAATGCCACGTTGCAAGTGGCATGTTATTAAGCATTAAGCTGCACAGTTGTGTCAAAAACCTAAATGTATTAATAATACGCATAATATAAAAAACAGTCAATAAATATGAGTGAATAAGTTAAAAGTGCTCTAGAGATTAACACATTACTTCGTACGCGGAAAGAACATCCACAAATGTTTTTTATATTTTATAAGCCTTACTTTAGTTTTGTTTTTTTACATATTGACAAATTATTTATATTTTAAAACTTTAACCAATTTTGTATGCGAAATTCATTCGACCTGAGCACTAACGAAATATCTTCGAGCATTCTTAGGTTTCAGAATTCAGATCTTATGTAAATTTTGGATGAAAGTCCACGATTTATTTGGCTGGCTTTCACTGGATATATTCTAGAATATATTCTGACCTCGCCCACTCCCAGTAAATTCCACCTACGAACCCAGTCATAAATATCGTGTGCATTTTTCAATTTCCTCTGCGTGCCGAGGGAGCGAGGCAAACGGAAAATTATTTATGGCATGCAAAATTGCTGGCCATAATAATGCATATCACATAGTTGGCCAATAAAATTACAATTGGCTGCCTCGCCAGGAAGCCAGTAATTTAGTTTGCCACTGCAATTCAATTAAGACGTTAATTGGCTTTGAGAAGTCGAAAAGACAGTTGCCATTGAATTGGCCAAGCACAACAAGCTCTGGGGGAAATGGGCGGTTTCCTTGTTGCCCGAAAATCAGGAGCCGAACGAAGCCAAATCAAGTGGCAAAAGTTTACTAACTATCTAGCTGTGTGTGTGGTTTATTTAGCATAGAATTTTCCTGTGCAGTCGGAAAAATACGGGGGTTGTGGATAAGGGGGCAGCAGGAACCCACTCATGTGCATGCCTAATGAAGCCATCTATTTCGTGTGGAATTGATGAACAAGCAGACTCTCCTTCAACGACAAAATCCTGGAGAAGGCGGCCAAACTTTTCTGTCTGCAGAAGGGCTAAAGGCATGACGGCTGGTCATGTACGGACACAGAAATCAATTAAGTTAATTTCCGCACGTTGCGTGAACAAGGGATTACGTCGGGCATTGGAAGTCGATAAAACTTCGTCGACATCGAGATCCACAACAACAGGAACAGGAACAGGATGTGCACGGAGGGCGCAAACTTTCACAAAGATTCTGGGACGCGGAGAAGAGCAAGGACAAGGACGACTGGCAAGTCGCATCAAAGTCGAAAAGTTTAATTGGCTTGACGACACTTTGCCAGAGCACGCTCCAAATCAATTGACTGACAAAACACGAATGTCACACAAATCTATTTCTACTTAATTTCGAGGACTCACACAAATCTTAAATCAGAGTATATCAAGGCTTACATAAACATTACTTGTAACAACATTCTAAGCGAGTTTTAAAAGAATATTAATATGATTGGGGTCGTTAGGCATCGTTTAATTTCTTGTAAAAAAATCATTAAAACATTTGTGATTAATTTCAATATTTTTAGATTGGCCTACTGCGTGGTGGAAAAATGCTGGCGGAAGAATCTCCGGGCTATCTGCGACAGCAGTATAATGCTGATTCACTGGAGGACGTTTTCTTGAAACTGTCCGTTTTGCAGAACATGGGAAAGCGGCGACGATCGTCGATCGCTCAGGAAATCGTGGAACAGGTGACGGTGCCGGCCATCTCCAATCCCGCTCTCGACATGTCGGATGAGCAGCACGCCGCCGAAATTTCCGGCGAGTTTGGCGATAACATTTCCATGTCCTCTGCTGCCCGGGATCCGATCACTACCACCGCCCCCGCAGCCCCGCCGCTGCCACCGCCACAGGAGACGCCCACATCCTTTTGGTACAACCTTCATGTGATGCAGTCGCATCACCTGCACGCCCTCATCTGGAAAAACTTCTTGTGGATGATGCGTAACGTGGGGTAAGTCGATACGTTCTAAAGTGGAGCTCAGAAAAGAAGTCGAACTCTTTGAAGAAGGGTTAAGCATTGCTTAACTATTTTTTCAGTTAAGGGACACCAAATCCCAAGTCCAGTATTTCGCAACATGACTTAATAAAGAGTTCTTAAGATTCCGAATTTGATCTTCCATCAATTAGGGAATATACATTTTTAATTGATCATCGATAAATTTTTTCTTTAATTACAATGGTAAACACTTTTTAAAACTTTTAAAAACATAAAAGATTGTTCAATAGATTATTTGAATATTAAAACAAAAATGGTTGGGGAATGACGTACCGCTTTCAGATTGTAAAAATAAAAATTTCATGTTAATATTTTAAATATTTAAATTTTTTGAAAACAATAGTCAATTTTAGATATTTAGTGTGTTTTGCAATTTATCAGCGCATTCTATTACTCTGGCTTACGAATAATAAGCCAATAAAACTAGTGCTCCTGAATGCTAACAAACTTTCGATGACTTTTCCGCAGGGTGATGCTGTTCATCGTGGGCCTGCCCGTTGTGCAGATACTGCTCTTCTGCTACGCCATCGGCCATGACCCGACTGGCCTAAAATTGGCCGTGGCAAATCACGAGATGTCGGGGGAAATGATTATGGAACAGTTCTGTCCAGTGCACACCGGATGCAATCAGACGATGCTGAGCTGCCGTTATCTCGATATGCTGGTCAAGAACAAGAGCATGGTTGTGGTGAGTGCAATGCAAATTACCTACTCGAGTTCACCGCTCCCGATTCCCGCCCCCTTTCACCATCCCTCGAGAGTAAAAGGACATGGGCAGAGGCATTGGCGAATGCAGATGCAGTTGCAGATGCAGATGCAACTCCCAGCCCGGGGGTGCAATATCAGCTGTCATTGGCTTTTTGCTTAAATTGTGCAGTGCGAACTTTACAATAACCACTCATGTGGCTTATATTCAGGCCCCTCGATCCCACTACGTAGTACGTACGCCCTGTGCTAGCCGCCCCTGTAATTTATTTCAATTTGTGTGGACAGGCGAGTGGCTCCCCCTGTTGGGTCCAAGCGGAGGCTGCCGCCGGGTCTTCAATCTACTGCACACATCACTTCGCCCTGCCGCACTCCTAAATCACCACCCCCCATATACTTGACATTGTCTTAGCCACATCTCCTGAAAAGTGCTGCTAACTTGGCTATTTTGTAGTCTATAACAAATATTTAGGGAAAGAAAGCTAAAAAAACAAAGGTAATAAGTATGTGGGATATATTATTTAGTATGGAATTAACACTTATACTTTAATACTGTCTGCAGTTTACTTTCAAGTATGTATACTTTTATATTGAAGAATTCAAAATCAACTCATGAGTCCTACTTATAAAAATATAAAAGTTATAAGTTAAGGTCAAGTTGATATTTGTAGACTAAGAAGTCATTAATTAATTTTTGGTAAATTTATAAAATCATGTTGTGACTTATTTGTGAAAGGTTCTACTCAATCAATCACATGGATTTTTTTTATATCTTCCAATTTTATGAAAAAATAAATAACTGACTAAATTAAATTACATTTATAAGGACAACTTTTTATCAAATACACCAGATTGTTACCTAATCTATACAAATATTTTTTGTAATTAATGTGATTACTATTTCTAGACTAAATTTGGCAGCTCTGTTTCTAGTCGTGCTCCTTGTTCGATGCAAAATGAAGAGGAAGCTGCCATGGCCCCTGCCTCCGATTTTGCCATTGCCCTTGGTGTTGGCGAACACAAATTACAGCTGCTTATCTTTGGCACAGCAACAACAGGCCGAGTCGACTGTCGGCCAGTTGGCCAGTCGGTCGAGATCATCAATAAATTTACTGCCCTGCCATGGGCGGCGATGGCCAGAAATAGTGGGCCAGAACAGAACGGAACGCCAGGAGAGAAGAGCCGAGGCCAGGGCAAGCCGCTTGTGGCAATTTATTGCAAATTACGCTTCAAAAACAAAGTCGCTTTTGTTGCCTAATTTGAGTTTCGTTTCGTTTCGGTTCGAGGGCTTGAGTCCAGGCTTACGATTTCATGCATTTTACATTAGACACTGTAATAAGCGTAATAACAGTAAAGTAGCTGCAGGAGTGGTGGTATTTTTACGATTAGTTTGCACAGCATTCATGCAAAATTGAAACTTATTAACTGGTTGGTTGTAAAATCCCGCCTCTAAAAAAAACTACTCTGCCATTTCGGGGAATTCAATTGGGCAATCAATTGCGTTCCGCTGAAAGACAATAAACCAAAATCAGCATTGAGATCTCAATGTCCCATCAAATTATCCCGGCAGCAGACCGTGACCTCCCAAACTTTTACGAAATTTTCAAATAACAATATAATAAAGACCGCAATAATAAGGCCAGCAACCGTCCGCATACCTCAACAGGCAATTTGCGAAGAAAACTTTTTACCTTTGGAAATTGAAAAGCATCCCCCAACCGCCGGCTATCAGACTAAATTTGTATAACTTCTGACAAAAATAAGGGAAAAATGAAACAAAAAATAATACGCGGCCGTGTATCTTTGGGCCGCATCAAAGACCCAGAACGAAAGGAAAGAGAGGATGCCAAGTTAATTTTGGTCAATGAACAGCATATCAACGTACCATCAGCACTTGGCCAAACCCCTGGCCCATCTCACCATCCCCAAATTCTTGTGAGGATAGAGCTTGAGGCACACCTCGCGGGTGGGTCACAGAAATTTGAATTTCTCCGCGTATCGACAGAAGGCATTTTTTGTTTTTCAATACCACTTTACAGTACCACATAGACAACTTGAGTTTGGGTATGATGTTTTTATCGAAAAGACTTGTTAATTGATATTTAAAAAAGAAAAAAACAAAAGGTTCATTAATAAGCTTATGTAAATAATCAAAACTAAATAAGTTTTGGGAATTTCCGTTTCACGTAACTTATTTGGAAAAGAATGTAACAAAATTGTAATTTTTAAGCAAACTACTATATCAACAAATTGACATCGTTTTTATTAAAAAAACAAAACAAATATTCATAGCCAGTTTTACGAAACCTCAAAAGTTTAATACAACTACTCTTTTAACAAGGATTTCCAGCTTGGAAAGATTTCTAAAATTCACTTTGTTGCCACATATTAATACATTATTTTTAAAGGCTTACAAAAATGGTGTACATTTTTATGATGTTAAATGTTTCAATATTTTTTCAACAAGTATCAAGCGGTCACCCCTACAAAAAATTTTTTTTGCGTCTGTTTGTGGTTGCATTTAGATAAAACGCAGACCAAAAAAAAAGTTAAAAGAAAAAGCGTTTATATTTCGATGTCCCCTGGATTTTTTCTGGCTCTTTGCCTTGTGGTTTTTCTTCGTGTTCGTTCAGATCAAACGCATTTTGGTTACCCTTGTCTTAACGACCCAGAAATTGTCTTCTGTTTTGTGGGCCGCACATTTTAGCCCGGCACCACCCCAATTTTCTAGGAGCAACACACTGAATGGGGCAGTAATAATTTTACAAACTTGCCCCACAGCTAAAAGCCCAAAAAAGGGACCTTAATTTATGGGAAATTGAAAAACATATTGTGGTCAGCCGATGTCGTTGACTGTTGTCGTTGCTTCTAATTAAAAGTTCATTAGTCAAGACAATGTGGCTCATTAGTGTAAGGCGGCTCCCACTAATTTCATGCGTTTTCGTGCAGCAGAAAATCTTCTTAACTTTACATATTAATTTGAATACATTTTTTATTTTCAATGACTAAACATTTTAAAAAATTGCTTTTTAAAAGACCTCTACGTTATTTTCAATGGCTTAGATCCCCTTTTACTACGCTTCTGATGGTACTTGATTAGCGACAAGATTTTACAGGGAGAAAGTGCTTGAAGTGCTTCCTTGGCTTTTTTTCCAACAGCCAAGGATGGTTTTATGAGGCAAGTTAAGGCAAAGTCGAAACAAAAACTGCCAAGGTAGCTGGGGAAAGTTTTTCCACCAGCTCCTTTCGAGCTCATTTGCGTCGAGCTTCTGACCAAGTTGACTTCATTTGCGCATAGTTTGTGGCTCAAGTTTGTCATAAACAATGTTGAAGTTGGGGTTAAATAGTAGCATAAAAGTTGCCCAGGACTTGCAATTTGATTGTCTGTTAGCCATGGCTCTTCACATTATAATTTATTCCAAGTCCCAAGTGTAAAACTCGCCCAAATCTCTGCTTCAGGTGTTCTGCCAAGGGCTCAGCCCAGATCCAATCTGGGCAACATAGTTTCGGGCAACACATCCCTTTCTGGGCCATCAAATCGGATGAGGCCAATTAAACCACAAACTCGTATGCTGGCCCCAAATCGGGGAATGTGAGTGTGGCATTAAGGGTGGCAATTGCGTAAATTTCACGCCTGCTTAGAGGCATGCCATTTGCGTTTAAATAACTACAGATCGAAGCCGCAAAATTGCCCGAACTAAGCCCAAATACAAATGCCAATACACGCAGATTGGGTTTTGTGGTCAGGTCTTTCCCTCGGCTGAGATTCTTGTGGTTGTTGGGCGACATAAGTGACTGGCAAAAGTTTAGGCAAAGTTTTGCACGCCCCTCCAGTTCGAAGGCAACTTAATAAATGGGTGAGCACTTGCCGGAACTAGCTCAAGATCCCTGGATCTGCTCCGCTTTCTGGTGGCTGCTGCCAGTTCATTATTTATTTCGCATCGAAATGAAATTGTTACAGATAACACAAACAACTTATTGTTGACAACAAAAACAGGGGTCCGCAAAAAAGTAGGCAACGAAACGAAACACAACGCAACGCAACGCCTCTCCTTTGTTGCTGATTTGTTTGCCTCGCTGAATTTATCGCCTGGCGCAAAGTACGCACATTAATTACGGGGAGTTACTTTTATTGTTGCTACAACAGAGCAGAACAGAACAGAACAGAACGCCCCACATGCAGCAAACAATGCGACAGGAAATGAAGCGGGACGCACAAAGAGACAGCTCACAAAGCTGCCAAGAAAGGAAGTGCCGTGGGCAGGCAGCCCGAGTCCTGACTACCGAGTCCTGGAATCGCGACATGGGTTTCTCAATAATTCAGCGACTCCGATTTTAATTGCACAACGTCGGCGAACACAATACCCAGTCATTCGGCATCTGTCTGGCAGGTGCAATGACTTTTTAAGCTAATTGAGTGAGCATTTGATTGACTGCCGTCATTTAGCTACTCTGCCCACCCACAAACACACAAAGCATATATTTGTTTTTAGATGAACAATGGCCATGTTTATTAAGGGAAAGAGAGTGTCTGACTGTGATTTCCTTGAATTAACAAATAATTGTTAGATCTTAAGTGAGAAGTCCAAAATCATTTTTAAACGCAGAGCAAAATCAATAGATCTGTATGTTTAAAACACGGACAAATAAAAATTAAAATGTATATACAAACCAGGCTCTAGCCCAAATGCCTTGGTAACCAATACAAATTTATCAAAAAATAAGAAAACATTTTTGTAAATACCCAGCCAAAGAACATGAATCCAATTATTTAAATGTGTTAGTTGTTCGAAAATATTATATATATCATTCCTTTACATTGAGCTGTTACAGAGATTTTTATTTTTCCCAACGAATACATTTTACTAGAAATTTGAAACTGCTCGGCTCTGTAATCTTACAATTTTTTTGTTATTGCAGAAATATGTGACTGACGACGAAATGGCCTACGAAGAGGTGAGGAAAGGTAAGGCCTGGGCTGCTCTAGTAATTCAACCCAACTACACGGCTTCGCTAATGGAACGCGTTGAAGATGGACGTTATGCAGAGGATGGCACCATCGAATCCTCCGATCTGGCAGTGCGAATGGATTGGTCCAGTAAGTGCATATATAATTTACATTCTGAAAATGAATAAAAACCATTATATTTCTAGATCAACAAATCTCACAGCTGCTTTACCGTGACCTCCAGTACACCTTCTTCAACTTTGTGGGCGACATGCTGGGCGACTGTGATCTGAACCCAAAACTAGGACGTGTCCCTGTGGACTTCAACCAGCCCATCTACGGCTACCGGAATCCCAACTTCACGGACTTTGCTGCCCCGGGCGTTATCCTGACCATTATCTTCTTCCTGGCCGTGGCCGTCACCTCCGGAGCGATGCTGATCGATCGGAATGAGGGCATGCTGGAGCGGTGTTTGGTGGCGGGGATCACGGGTCCGGAGATCCTGCTCTCCCAGGTGGTCACCCAGTTCACTGTGATGCTAAGCCAGACAATTTTTGTCCTGATCGTCAGTTTCTACTTCTTCGAACTGACCTTGGTGGGCGACATTTGGCTGGTGGTGGCCCTCTGCATCCTGAACGGACTTTGCGGCATGAGCTTCGGATTCGTTATATCCTGCGCTGTGGACACGGAGCGAACGGCCACGTATGTGGCGATGGGCTCCTTCCTGCCCATCGTCATGTTGTGCGGCATCATCTGGCCGATCGAGGGCATGTTCCCGCTGCTGCAGTTCTTCACAGCCTTCCTGCCGCTCACCAAGCCAACGGAATCGATGCGTTCCATTCTGCAACGCGGCTGGGGCATCGACAATCCCGTTGTATACAATGGCTTTATTTCTATTTCCTCCTGGGTGCTGGTGTTCCTCATACTCACTATCCTCCTGCTCAAGTTCAAGAAGGGTTAGTCCCCTTTTGGGTTGATCCGACACAGAAAAAATGTAATGATACTTTGGAAGCCTAAATATCTCGGAAAAAATAAAAATCAATAGAGGTGTTCGCTAGTCTTGAAGAACTTGGATATTTTATAGCTTATTTCTTAACAGCACTAGCGAATATCTGTTTTGTTTAATTAAAAGACTTCTAACAGTTCAGTTTAAATAGTACAAGTAACTATACAATTTTACAAACATTAAAATAAATTAAACAGCAAGGTTTCCAAAAACAAAATTTGATCTGTAAATATTGCCTCCAAAATCATAGTTTTTCCTGTGAGCGTTTCTTATGATTTTACTAGGTTTTAAGGGTAGACTTACGCTATCTTAGCCAGTAATTAGTACTTAGTCCTAGCCCTCCTTCACTGGCAATAGGTTCCGGAATACCACTAGCACCTAGAAAGGAAATTGTTGTGCCTTGTAGAATAAGCTTTTCCATGTCATATTACTTTCATACTCACACCCACAGACCAACATCAATGCATTATATTTATGATGTAAGCTTGTGAACAAAATTCGAAAAGTTTGAATAAATTGATAGAATAACTTTGCCGAGATTTACTTCAGAAATTATTGCAGCAAGCTTTGCCTTCGGTAATTGTGATTTATTCACATAGCACAGAGCACAGTGATTGCTCTGATTGCACTCGGTGAGACGGTGAACAAACTGGGCGAAATTCCGGACGAAAGGCAGGCAAAGTTGCTGCATTGTCGAAGTTGGTGCCAAGTGGTCCTGTGGTCCTTTCAATCAGTCATTGGTTTTGCCAATATTTATTTACCAAGTATCTGCAATCAAAGACCTCAAAAAGAAAGGACCTGAGTCCAGACCTTTACCCTGAACTTTATTCGAGGAAGGCCCGTCGAGAGATGGAATGTCGGGGGTGATGTCACGATGACTCGTTTTCGACACATTTCACATTTTGTGGCAAAATCAATCAAACCGGAAATGCATGTCGACCATGACTGAGTGTATGGATTGGTGGATGGTTCGCACACGTGCGACGACGGGTGGGCGGTATCCAGCATCCGCTTAACACGAAAACTCAACTTAACAAGCGAACAAAGTGCCCAGGAAGCAAATGGAAAGAGCTGCCTTCCATGCGCACTCAAAATAAATTCGTAGAATTTATACCCTTTCCTTTCTGAGTTTTAGTCTTCTGAGATATTATTCAAAGGTAAGTTCTTTACGTAATTTAACAATACAAAGGGGAATCTTTTTTCTATATACTTAATTTATTGTTTAATTTATTTAAACCTTTATCCCTTCCTAATTATACAAAATTTATGTGTTGCTTGCATTAATCAATTCGTGGTATTCTTTTGTATATGACACATGAAAAGTTTTAATTGTTTTTAGAATACATTTGTAGGAGTATTTTTCTCAGTGTAGGCAACTAACAATAACAAAACGAAGACGCACACACAGGGCGACTTATGCTATTAGGTGTTACACATGCATATGTAGGTCAGCCAGCATGGGGCGTGGCTGAAACAACACTAACTGGATCCACATGTCGTCCAGTTTCCGTGACTGTCGCTCTGCCTTGGATTGAATTGCATCGATGCCAAGGTTCAGACTCGATTTAACCGTTCGATGTCCAGTGGCCAAGGTCCACTATTACCGCAAATCAGTCAGGAACTGCGTTTCTATTGGACTCTAGTACAGAATGGCGCTTGAGACGTGTGTATTTACAATTAGATATCCGGCTGAAATCGATAACATTTCAAAGCATCAGCCAGCAGGACATTCGAAGGAGCCACATTTGCCATTATTTTACTGGCATTCCGCTTTGGATTGGCGGCGTCTGGGATGCCTCGCCCATCATTGATTACTCGAGTGTAGCTGACGGCGGCACTCGAGCACACAAATTGGAAAATACAGCAGCCAAGGCGAAGCAAAAATCTCATTTTCATTTTCATTTACCCATCTCCTTGGCGCATTTCGCTTTCCACATAATTGAAAGTTCAAAGTTTTCGCCTTGCCGCTGAATTAATTTTTCAACTTCATAATTTCACGTGCTCTACGAAGCTTTAATAACCGCCCAGCCCGTTTTCCATTTTCCATTTGCCGTTTTCATCGCCATCTTCATCCAGCAGCTGCCTCCGATGGCTTTCTTTGTTTGTGGCTGAGAGCAATCTGAGCCTTTTCCCGCCATCAAATGGAGACCCTCCGCCTCTCCAATGGCGTGTTAATTAATTGCTCAATTAATTTAATGTTCGGAATTCAGGGCTCTCCTCGCCGCCTCTGCAAAAGTCAATTGTCTGTTGGGTTCAGTGGCTTGAATTTTACAAGAAATGTCAACTTGGCAACTAAGACCTTCATCCTTTTTACACGCCGCCCTTTCTATTTATTCGGGGTCAACATAATCATGTAAATTAATGGCTCTTCGGGGCAGGTAAGCCGACGAGATTCCATCACACACTTGAGCCGTGGTGAAGGACTATCCGATCCAGTTGAATTATATTACCCTTTGTTTGCCTGGTCATTTTTGCATTATTGATGATCAATAATTAACCATCGGGCAACCATCAGCAGCCAAGATATCTTTAATTATTCAATCGTAATTAAAACAGGCTTACTTAAGGCACATTGGCTGCATCGCTCATATGCACTTTATTATTTTAATGATTGGCATTAATTATTTGCGGTGCATAATGTGCAATTTATTTGCTGGCGGCAAACAGCATCAGAATTGAGAAACCGTTGAGGCGACCCGCTCCATTATCGTTCGGTTTGCTTTGTCTGGCAAATTGTGTAATGAAAATGTCAATCAATTTTCCCATGATTTGCCATTAAAGTGGGCGGCGTTTTCCGGACACATCTACACCTTAGCACACTCGCACACTCAATGCCAATTGCAAATTGAGTTCATCTGCTGGCGGCAAATATTGACATGACAGACACATTTTTATTTTATTTTATTTGCATTTTTATTTCACTCTTCACCCGCTGGCATTCGCTCTGGCCCATTTCTGGTTTATTTTTCGCCTTTTTCCATTTCTCCCTTGGAGCTGCTCAGCTTGTTTGACGGGGGAAAACTCCTTGGATCTCCACTCTCGTGGTGTGCTTCATCTCCTGACAGTGGGTTCGTTTTAGTACCGCAGTCTGTTTAGGTGGCAAAAATGACATATTAATTTCCAAAGGGGAAACGAAATAATATAAATGGAGTTGTCGCTTCGAGCTTAAGCGTGTAAGCCGCCCCTTACTTTCCTCCTATGCTTTGCTTTTCTCAGGGGCACATAAATATGCAAATTGCCTGGCAAAATCTAAATAAATGTGATCGGGGAAATCAACACTTTGGGCTGGCATCCTAGGTAATTGTTTGCGCATTACATTACGTTACGCATACGCCGCTATTAAATTCTGGCGATATTTCGGATATTTTTGGCGTTTTTGATGAAGCCGTGGGCTGTCAGCACGGCAGGAACCTCCATCAATCAGCCTTCGATTTTCCCACACATGCAGCGCCAAAAGAAAGGAAAGGACCGTCAGTCTGTCATTGAGTCAGTTAGTCAGCCAGCCGCTCTGCCCATACCTCAATTGAAAAGCACTTTGGAAAAGGATAATAACGATAAATTTTTTATTGTAATGTGTCTTGCAGTGTTTACATGCCGGCTGCGCCTTATGGCAGCTAGCAAGGGTTGCTTAACGACCTTGCGTTTGGCTGTTATTATTATGTTCACAATTAATGCGTTTTTTGAATCTGTAATATAAATTGAAAGGTTAACTTTATAATACAGATACAAAATATTATTAATTCAGTAAATATAAAAGATACTTTAAAACAATTAATTCAAAAACTATTGTACGAATTAAATCTTTGGTTATTTATGATTTCATATTATGTCATAATAGCATTTTAACTATTTATGTTTTTTAATTAAATGTGAGTTGTTTTACAGAACTACTAATTGAAGCTACTCATTTTCTTGCATTGATTAAAATTAAATTCTTTTATTTACTTTAACTTTAAATGTCTGCATTGCATAAAATTGGTTCAGGTCCAGGCTACGAACTTTTTTCCTACGGCTAAGCTTAAAAGGAATGCCTACATTAATGTATTTTAAACCTAATCATTGTTAACCATTATATAAGATGCTCTTCTCTGTATTTCTTGTAGATGAAAGAAGAACTTTGTATAGCAACCCTCGCTTAGCCATAACAACTGCCAAAATAGCGTGTATTGCCATTATTTTCCAAGCAGGGTCTGATGTCTTCGCCGATGCTTTCCTAAGTCCTCCGCCCTCGCTTCCCCCTTATCCCTATATGAGCACAATTTGCAGTCTCTGCCGCTTTCATGCTGTTGCGCGCGCTTACGGGCAACACTTAATCGGCTTCCGGGGATATTTGGGATTTGGGGCGGAAACCTATTTGTGTCAAGACGCAGCCAGTGTTTTCTGTTCTGCTTATCCACCTCCGCCTTCGCCTTCGCCCTCATTTTCCTGCATTTCCCTGCCTTTGTCGCCCCAGCCTTTCATTTTAGACATTTTCCTTTGGCATGGCAGCATATTTAGTCTTTTGTTTCGCCACAATTTGAAGCTTGCTTTTTACTTAGCCATACTTAAAATTTATAACAAAAGCGGCTCCATCTTAAAATGAACTACTTAGTTTTTTCCTTTTCTTCGGCGTCGGCTTGAGGCAAAAGCATTACCACAATGAAGCCAATTCCGTCAACAGCCCGCGGGCTGTTGTGTACATAAATACAAATACACATTTCTTTTGGCTTCTGGGACAGTACGTGATAATGGCCAGGGAGCAAATGACACCGAGCCAAAAGTCTGAGATGAGGAATCCGGCAATGCCCCCCATAAATATGAGTATATTCCCTGCCCTTTGCCACGCCCTTTCTGTACCGACTAATAAGAGCCGCCAGATGTTGTGCGGACCATTGAAAAAACTGAGCATTCAGGCACATATATATGTAAGATGGCAAGGGGATTCCCTGGAGAAGCAGAATCCTGCCATATATGTACGGTGTGAGCAATGTGTCTGCCAATTCCCTGCTAATGGCTCTTTTGTGAGCCTTCCCACAACTTGGCTCAATAAAATGCCAGCGGCAGTTGTTCCACCCGTCGACTGGTCGCTCATTTTCAGTTATTTCCTTTTAAATATTTATGATTTTCGAAATGCCAGAGAGGCGCTCAGGAATTCTTAGTATTTATACACTCCCATTGAAACTGAAGTTGCTGGACTTTGGGATTGTAAACGATTTATTTGACCATAAAAATTGTTTATTTTTGTAGCTACAAAGTATGCCGTCTAAGTTAAACTCTTCATAGTTTGTAAATGGCTTAAAGTCATTTTCATAATGAATTTAATTTCTCTTCATTTATTGTAAACAATCACAGCTGTTATCTTTAAATATTCAAAGATTTGGTTTAAAATTTATTCCAGCATTACGATAATAGGATTTTCTATGTGCATAAATAAAAAAAAAAAAAACAATAGAATGGAGGGATATATTGGCCGCATTATGTTGTTGAAATGCAAATGTTATTTATAAACCAGAACACATCGAATTGTATATAAAAGTCAGATACTTTAAA